ACTCTTGGAAAGACTTCCTGACTAGCTCGGTACTTCTCTTGGCTGCTGAATTATTCATGTCCCTTGATGGATTCTGTTGCTGGACTCCTCCTGAGGAGGCGGATTTATAAATGAGGCTTGGGCTAGTCGCTTTGATGTTCCAGTGTAGTAGGTGGTGAGTGAAAGAAAGCAAGCAGGTGGTAGGGGAAGGGTTGCCAAGTGCCCTGCGAGGCTCCCAGCCCAGGAGGAGGGTGGGTCTGCTCCAAGTACGCTCAACAATTTCAGATGTTGAGTGTGCGTTGGGGGAGATGGTGTCTCTAAAAACAAGGGACATTTTCTTTTGAGGGGATGGGGTGAGAGGAGAGAAGAAAGAAATATTTAATGAGTACCTACTATGTGCCTGGCTCTTAAGAGATGTAATCCAATTTGATCCTCACAAAATCCAGGTCTGGGTTATCTCTGTTTTACAGGCAAGAAAATTGAGTCTTGGAGAAGTGAAATAATTTGAGCAATTATAGAGTCAGAAGGTATACCTATCAAATAGAATTAGGTATGTCTGTGATTGACAGAAAGCCCAGATGCAGTTTGGCTGGAATCAGTCCAGGGCTGGCATGTCCTTCCTCTGTGTCGGAGGCCCTGGCTCCTCTTATTCGACGTTCTGCCAACCGTAGCCCATGGCATCCATTTCATGATCCAGAATGACTGCCCGGAAGAAGTAATGATGCTTTTACTTATATCCAACTGGCCAGACCTTGGTCACGTGGCTGCTCTGAGCTGGAAGGGAGACTGAGAAATGTGGCAACTTGCCTACAAAAGAGCTAGGGGTACTATTTCTAAAGATGAAGGAGACATACTGGGCATACCAGCAATCCCTGCTACTGCTGGGGGTCTAAAAAGTGATTTTAACTAAGGCCCTTTGTTCATGTAACCTTGCAGCTGGAAAGTGCTTATTTGCAAAAAGCCCCTGAGAGTTGGTTTAGTGATTAATCAGTTGTTTGCATCTTCAGCTTCTGTAACCTGACGGCCTGCCTGTTTCAGAGAAGCTGCCTGCTCAAGACCCTAGTCTGTGTGACTTGTGTAACCGTAACTGCTCTTCCTGCTTCTGCACAGCTGCCTGCTCAAGTCCCCATTCTGTGTGACTTTGCCTAGATACAGACAGGACCAATATGAAAGCCTGCATGACTGCCTAAGAAAAGTATAAAACTGCAACCCTGCCTGCACTCAGTGTCCCAGGATTTTGGAACATGAGTTCACCTGGGTCCCGCTAGCGTAATAAACTTCCTGGTTCTCCAACCTTCTGAGTGTCTGCAGTTTCCCTTGCCAAGTTCGTTCTGCAACACTACAAGGAAGAATGAAATCTAGGTCTCTCTCATTCCAGATGACCCCAGCCCCATCAGTTCTACCACACTGCCTTCATTACAAGAAATACCATTGCCACAAAAACCTCCATCGGGCTTAAAGTGCCCCATGGACAATCATCATAAGAAGAGTCGTGTTTCATCAGGTGCTTACTGTGAGCCAGGCACCATGCTACATGCTTACAGCATTATCTCATTCAGTCCTGACGTAACCTTATCAAGCAGGAGCTTTATTCTCCCTCTTTTACAAATGAGGAAACAGAGGCCCAGCGAGATGAGATAGCATGCATACGACCTAGGAGGTTGATGCTATGGTTATTCCCTCTTACAGTTAGGAAACTGAGCTCCAGAGAGGTTGAATCACCTGCCCAAGCTCTTCAGTTAGGAGGTAGAGAAGCTGGAACTCCAAATTGGGAGGCCAAGCCCTTAATCATTCCTTCAATAAAAAGCAGGAGACAAGACTGTCTGCTAGGAGAGCAGGAGAGGTCCAGGAATTAGGTCCTAAGAAACATAGTAGAGAATTGAAAACACCCCTATGGGGGAAGGGAATAGGGAATTATGAGGGAAATCAATTAAATGGTATAAGCATGGAGAGCACAGACAAGGCTGGAAATCCTAAGTACAGGTTAGTAGTATTTGACAAGGACTGGGGGGGGGGGGGGGGGG